CCCCATCTCATTTGAACGTAAACCCATAATATTATGAGAAAGAGATGTGGTATTATTATTAAAAACTATCACCGCCTGTCATAAACGGGTGATGTCTGAAGCCCGAAAGCGATAGAACTGTGCAGGGGACAGCGCAGGGTGCAATAGCCGACATTCCCTTCCTTTGTACGACCGTCTCCAGGTCGAAACAAGATAAGTCATAGAAACGATGCTTCTGATCAATTAAATAGCAACTGTCTGCCCAACTTTAGTATTTTGAGCAAGTACAAATATTGTGATTCACAAATGAGCACCTGTTTTTCTTTTCTTTTTCTTTCTTTTTTTTTTTGTGTCCGGGGTGGTGGGGTTGTTTTTTTTACACTCTCCCATCAAAAGGATGCATTAAATATGTCTATTGCTACTTTACTGCTACGATTAAAGCAAATACCCAACATCTATCATCTAAGCTAAACCTCCAAAAGGAGTACCAATTCAATTAGTAAGAGAGAAGGAATGGTAATTTATTTGAGAAGTATTTTTGCTTTCAAGAAAAAAGCACAGCAGTTGTATAAGGGACGTAAATCATACCACTGCATTCAAAGTATACGCTTCTTTTCCTATAATGTATAAACATTCCTTCTATACCCACGCCACGTAGAGATCTGTATGTGACCAAAAGGGCTCATTCCGTCCCAAACCTAAGGCGTCCATGCCTTTAATGAGAAATCCCAACGATAACGGGTTCGACTGTAGGTCTACAATATCCACTCATCAAAACTCAATCAACCAACAACCCCTAATCCTCCCTTCGTCCGATATTATATTTGCTGCGCCACTCTCAGGCTTGCACGTTCATCATAGTTCATAAATTCGTCTGAGAAGAAATCCCTTCCCTCCTCTCTCAAATCTCAAAGCAAGCAGACCCGGTCTGGAAGCGCAGACAAAACCCGAACCCCTGCGAGGCTAGATGGGCGGCTTGCGGGGAACGCTAAGCCTGTCTGATAAAGGCTGGAGGTTTGGGAAACGACTTTTTAATCCCTGGTCCTTGTGCGTCCAGGTTCAAATGTGTCGCGGGCAGGGCAAGGGTGCATTGTGAAGTGTTCCAGCAGACTGGCTTGGTCTGAGTTCTGCCTAATGGCATGCTCATGATAATGTGCTGATGATGATGTTCCCGGCACGTCTAGACAGTTTATGGGGGTCGCAGGTGGGGGACATAGCAAGGTGTTGAGACAGGACAGACAGTCAGAATAGAGGACGAGACGGAGAGATAAATTGAGAGGAAGAGAGAAAAGGGGGGGGGGAGAA